TGCTTGGCAGTGCGTGGCCCTCACGCTCACGCCCCCCACCCCACAGGGCACGGTCCCTCCCTCTGCTCCCCACCGGGCAGAGGACCCCACCCAGATGCGCTGGGGCCCCACCCCTGCCTCGTTCTGCCGCTGCTGCCGCCTCTCGGCTCTGCTCCAACTGGACCTCCGAGGCGGGAATCCAGCTCTCGCTCAGGCACGGGCAGGGACGCGCTCCTGGGACGCAGCAGAGGCTCTGCCCTGGGGTCTGCTGTCAGCCAGCTCTTCCGGGCGAACAGACCGGGAGGGGCAGACTGTACTCGGCATGTCCCGGAGAAATGGAGGCAAACGAGGTTCTTGATTGTCAGCTAATCCGGGGTCCTCTCCTCTGGCACTCCTGCACCTCCTAACACTTTATAATGGACCCGTCTAGACTTCTGGGGGCTAAAGCTAAGGATCAAAACTGTTCACACTTTCAAAGCTAACTACTGGCCATTCGAATACACCCGATACAGGTCTCAGCAAGTGAAAATGTGTCTCCCCCTCCCACGCCAGGGACAGAAAAGACGCAGAGATGGCCTTGGAGACACGTGAGAGAAAGACAAGGGTTTGAAACAAGGTCATCCTTGGGAATCAAATACGCAGAAGCGTAATTAATCCCAATCTCCCTTCCCACTCGTGGGTCACACACAGACACGCGAGTCCCCACGGACCTGCTTTGCAAACGGGGGCACTCCCAGAAGTTGGCTGGAGGGAGCTTTCATCCACGGGATCATTTTCCCCATGGCTTGCTGCGGTGTTGGGAATGCGGCCTCAACTTCCTCGGCCGCCCCGTCTTGTGCTGGTGACGGCGTGGGTCTGCACTTTGCTCGGCGACGAGCCCCGGGGAGCCTCCGTCTCTCACTCGCACCCCACCCGGGGCTGGCTGCCGACCGAGGCCTGGAGAAGCCAGTGTGCGCGTGTTCCTGGAAGGCTTCTGCCGTCGCGAGTCTCCCAAGAACACGTGCTGCCGCGGGTTCCCGCTCTCTTCACCCGGGTGGAGACGCGTTTTGCAGGGAAGACCGATAAACACGGGGGCGGGGAGTTCTGCTCTGGAAGGGGCGGGAAGTGGGGTTTTCATTTCATGTGGAGACTGCACAGTATGCAGCAAAGGGAGGCAAAGGACACGCAGCGTCCGACGCAAACCCTCGTGCAAGCAAGTGAAGATGGAAACGGGCCTGCACTGACTGCTGCCTGGGCTGGCGCTGCCCGGCCAGAGGGCGGGAGATAAGAGCAGGCAGGACCATCACGGGAGTAAATCTGCGCTTCAACTAGGCAACTCCAATCACTGCGGTTAAAACGCTCGGAGCCCCAAGGGCAGAGCAGCACCAACTGAGATGTTCTTATTGCGTTATCAGTGTAGACGCCCTCTCGGGTTCCGGTTAGCTGCCAGATGCTGGTAAGGTTGGAAGAGCTACCTTCTTCCCCGTGGAAATGTCGGTTGAACAATGCGATTAGCACCTGTCCAACCGCTAAGGCCTCTTCGTGGCTGGTGGCGCTCAGGCTGGAACAGTCTCGGGGGAAGGGAACTCGCTGAGGCAGACACTCTTCAGTCCCCAAAGCGGATGGCCGGGGGTGAATGGCCCCCCGTGGACCACGTGGCCCGGGACATCTGGAGGCAACAGACCTTCCTCGGCCCTTTCCCCCTCCAGAGTCTCATCTGCAGGGTGAACAGGTGCGATGACAACCAGCCACCACAGCCACCCAGCTTTCCCACCGTGGAGTGGGGTCCACGGGAGCCCCGTGTGCTTAGGATGAAGACAGGGCTGGGTACAGCTGCTGCAGAAGCTGCTTATGGGAGGCGGCATCTTTCTCACAGGAAAAGATATTTGTTCCTGAAAACTAAATTCTCGGAATTAGCCCCTGATGGAAGCCTCTGCCTTCCTTCTCCGTCACACGCTCCCTGCTCCGCCTGGGCCCTGAGAGACCCGGGACAGGAGCAGCTCGCAGAGCGGGCGGCTCTCCCGCACCAGGGAGCCCAGCCCTGCGCCTTGGAGCATTCGAGGGAATATTCTGGGACGTGAGTCCAAATGGTAGGATGCTTTGGTTATGCTGCTAACTTGGGGGCCCAAGAGTGGGAAGAAGCATTGTCTGAAGGGAAACAAGCAATGGGGAAAAGCAACAAGAAGAGACTATTTCAACTTGCAGTTAGCAGAAAAACTTGCCCCCAGATTGGGAACAGAATCGGCCTGCGACAGCCTAGAAGGCCCCTCGCGTCCTTCCGTGCCCCGAATGATCAGACTGCTTGCTCTGGAGATGCTGGCCAGCACGGGCTCCCAAAGGAGGGGCCCTTCTGCCCTCACGGCCCCCAGTGCACACGTGGGCCCCTCACGCGGAATCACCGGTCCCGACCGCAGCCGGGACGCTGGTGACTGCGGCTGCACAGCAGGGCGTCTGGGAACTCAGCTCTGGGATCCTAGACACCTGGGCTCAACCGGGCGGCTCCCTGTCCTGTTGTCTTCAGACAGCAGTTCCCTAACCTGGGCTCCAGGTCCAAACTCATCAGGGGACAGGATCCCAGCGCCCACCTCACGGGGTTGTCAGCGGCTCAGGCAAGATCCCGCCCGAGGGCCGGGCAGCCCACGGCACAGCCTCTGGGCCCACCCGAGGCCGGCGTGGTCCGGCCTCCCCGTGCGGGCTGGGCGCAGGCCCTCCATGCAGAACTGGGGAGACAAGGGGACTACAGTGAGGTTTTGCAAAATCTGTATCAAGTCGATTTAGTGAATTACAAGCAGCATTTTTTTTTTTTGAGACAGTCTCACTTTATCACCCGGGCTAGAGTGCCGTGGCGTCAGCCTAGCTCACAGCAACCTCAAACTTCTGGGCTCAAGCAATCCTCCTGCCTCAGCCTCCCGAGTAGCTGGGACTACAGGCATGCGCCACCATGCCCGGCTAATTTTTTCTATATATTTTTAGTTGGCCAATTAATTTCTTTCTACTTTTAGTAGAGACAGGGGTCTCGCTCTTGCTCAGGCTGGTTTCGAACTCCTGACCTGGATCCATCCGCCTGCCTCGGCCTCCCAGAGTGCTAGGATTACAGGTGTGAGCCACCGCGCCCAACCAAGAAAATTTTTTTAAAAAGGAAAACTAGAAAACAGAGGGTGCCTCAGGCCCCACAGGTAAGAAATTCTTCATAAAACTTGCTTGAGACAGAGACTGATGCAGAAAATGGGCTGAGGCACGGCGGAGACACGTTCTGGTGTGGGTCATGGCCTGAACAGCGTGGGAGCCGCCAGCCCGGGCGCTCCTGGTTCTGAGGCTCTCCCCTTCCTAGCGCAGGGGGGCAGGAGAAGGGCTGGGTGGGAGCAGAGGAATTGGGACCTGCCCAGTGTGGTTTTCAGGGAGCACTTGATTCTGGAAAGGAGCCTGTGGCATTCTGGCCCCGCCCACTCCCATGCACGCACTGGCCGCAGATAAACGGTACACGCCGAGGCAAGTCATGCCTCTGAGTAAGAACAGGACATTCTAGGCCCAGGCCGGGCGGTGACTCACTATTATTCAGAAACGGTGACATCAGGGGCCTGCTCACCCTTGATCCTGGGGGGATACTTGGGCATGTGAAGGCCCCTTTCTCTCTGGTGTTGCAAGCGCAGAGGAGCAAGTTCCTGAAGAACAGACCGGGAGTGCTGGAGCCAGGCACCCAGAGGGGCAGCACGGCCGGGAACCTGCCACCAGGGGAGCCACCACCCCAGACGCCAGGCGGCGGGACGGTGCAAGGGCTCCCCCATGTGGCCAGAGGCGGGACTTTGACCGCAAGCTCGGCGCCAGAGCCGGCCTGGCCCGGCCCGGCCGACAGAAAGGGAGGCCTCTGGGCCGGGCACGTGGTTCTGCTCGGCCAAGGGTAGCTCTCTGGGTATAAAGAGATGCTCCGTCTGGCCTGGGTCAAAGTGCCCGTCCTACGAGAGCCGCTGGCCCAGGAACCATTTCACAGGCCCACGTCTCAAAGGGACGCCGGAATTCTTTCAATTCCGTAGCCTTGAAGAAAGTGTAAACAACCCAAAGCAGAGAAACAGACCTGGTGACGCTCCTTCTCACCAAACGAAGGCCCTCTCCCGGAACGTTCCGCAGGACGTGAAACTGCGCCTGCCTGGCACAGAGTGTGACTTTAAGGTGGGGGAAGTCACACAGCAAAATCTGCCTCAACCCTTCAGAGTTGGGTCTCAGGGGCGTGACTATGTGGGAAGTTGAACAAACAAAATGATAGGTGTCCTGGGAATTTTGCTTTTTGTTGTTTTTTAAAAGAATTTCAGAACCCTTCTTGGGGGGTTCAGAAAAGCAGGTGTTACCGGCCTGTGGCTTCTCAGGAGCGGAGACCCCGTTGCTTGCAGCCTGTGCTTGCAGAGAAGCTGCCTATTCCCAGTCCCAGGGTGCCGGGGAGGTGGCAGGAGAGACCAGCAGGAGGTAGCGGACTGTCACCACTGAGAAGCACAGTGAGAAGGGCTGGCTGCAGCCCTGTAACCCGCCGAGTAAGGCCCTGAAAAGGCTGTGGGCAGCTGCTGCCCACCAGGGAGGCCGGGCTCTTTTTCTCGTATGGTCGGATCAGACCCACCTGGACACACATCTTTCCCGCCAAGTGAGCTGTCGCCTTCGGTAAATGATTTAACTGGATCTTTACAAGAGAGGCTACAGAGAGTGGAAATGCCCACCTGGGAGTCCCCTGAGACGTAAGTTGCCCTCTTACATTGGGGATCCCTGTAACGGCCTGACCATCTGTACCCAGAAGGCTCCAGAGAAGGAGGCCAGCTTGAGAGAGGACGGAGGGCAGGGGTCCTTCCCTTGCAGAGCAGTTCAGCAACTGAGAAAGGGACCTCCCAACGACAGCTGTAAGATTTCTGGAAACTTTTGACTAGTATTTGCTGCCCTATTCCCTCATCGCCCCTTGTCTCTCTAGAAATCTGAGCAACAGCAAAGCAGCAGGGAGGGACCGGGAACACCCACTGCACCGTCAGGGTGGAGGAGAGAGGGAGGGGCCAGCAGGTGGGGGCCGCTGGAAGAGGCCGCTGGAAGAGACAGAGGCTGACTGTGCAGAGGCTCTGGGAGGGGCAGCTGGAGGAAGCACAGCCCCAACCTGCTCAAGGTCTCAGAACGGTCCCAGCGTCCCTGCTTTGCACAGGGCGCTGCCCTCCCCTGGGTGCCTTTGCGTCCTTCTCTCCGCCAATCGCACTCTTCTTTTGCACGGGAGCCAGTTCCAAGGATCCCCCGCTCCAGGAAACTCCAGGAAACCCCGATTAAGCTCAGCCCACGGAGTTCCCTCTTCTGAACCTGGGAGCTTTCGCTCTTTCCTATTTGGGGCAGGTTGATGTTAACACGTGACTGCCATAGGCCTTTTCTTAAGGGTTCCCTCCCGACCTGGATCTGAAGCTTCCTGAGAGCAGAGATTCCACTTCTCCCTTGTGTCTGCACCTACCCACCACAGCCGGACAGGGCGACTGCCAGAGGCACTGGGACAGGGCCCGTCCTGCCCTCTCTGGGGCCTGACTCCGGGGCGTCAGATTCCAGAGAGCCGGGGCACACTGGGCAGGTGGCGGGGCTAAGAGGGCAGGGAACGAGGCAGGTGGGGACAGCTCGGCAGTGGAGCGGGCAGAGGGAAAAGGCACCATCATCCCAGGAATGCCTCGTAGTCCATGTACCAAACCAGCTGGCCAGAAGTAGGCAGGACGCCCGAGATGGGCCACTTCTTGGGCTCGTGGCCCACACGGCTCACCAGCAGGGTGATCTCACGCTTCATCCTGCCCATGACCAGGACCGCCACCTTCTTGGCGCGGTTGATGAGCGGCAGGCTGAGGCTCATGCGGTGGTGCGGCCGGAGGGGGCTCTTCGTCAGCACCACCAGCTGCTCGCCGTCCAGGCCGGCGGGCGACTGCGGGAAGAGCGAGGCCGTGTGCCCGTCGGTGCCCATGCCCAGCAGCACCAGGTCGAAGCTGCTGTTGGCCACCAGGGCTGAGATCTCCCTGGCGTAGACCTGGGGGCCCTGGTCCTCCTCGGCGCAGAGCCGCTGGTGCAGGTGCACGGGCATGGGGTGGATGTTGTAGTAGGGGACCCTGATGTGCTGCAGCAGGTGAGCCTGCAGGCCCTGGAAGTTTGACTCCGGGTCCGAAAGTGGGACGCAGCGCTCGTCGACCAGCCACAGGTGCGTGTGGGCCCAGGGGAAGCCATAGTGCCCCGTGGCCAGCTCCTGGAACAGGGCCACCGGGCTGGAGCCGCCCGACAGCGCCAGGTGGAACTCGCCGAAGCGCTGCACGGCCCGCACAGCTGTGGCCTCCATGTCGTCGGCCAGCTTAGCGATCAGCTCCTCGGGCCAGGCTGAGATCAGCGGGCTCTCTCGGTACTTGGCCCTGAGGACCTGGAACTCACTGGGCACCGGGACAGACCCTGGCCCGGGCACCAGCTGCTCCAGCTGCTGCTGGGAAAAGGACAACTGGCTGCCACTGATCTCAAAGTCCAACAGGTGGCCACTCTCAGCTCCTCCCGGGTAGAGGCGTGGGACCTCTCGGGCCAGGCTGTCCAGCACAGGGGTCCAGAAGACCCAGGAGGCCAGCAGGTTCTCCGTGGTGATGAAGGAGTCCTTCCGGCAGTGGAAGATATGCGCCAAGAGGACGGAGTAGGCGTCCCGCTCCCTCGAGGGACTGTAGGCGTAGTAGTCGGACAGGGGGCGGCCAAAGAGACGCAGCCCCGGCCGGTCCTCCATCTCCACCCAGCTCTCGGAGGGCAGCGAGGGCCTGAACAGGTTCCTGCTGACCAGCACGGCGGGGCTGCCCAGCTCGCCGTGCCCGATGTGGAAGACGATCTGTCGGGGCAGGCACGGGCTCTGCTCCGGGGCCCAGTGCTTTTCGCTCTGGACACAATATGCCCGGTTCTTGAACAAGACCCGGACGTAGCCCACTCTCTCGTCCAAGGCCTTGCCAGACGTCAGGATGAACGGAACACCCTCCCAGCGGAGGTTGTCGATGTGGACGAGGACACCTGGGGTGAGGGGAATGGCAGAAGGTGATGCACCTGCAGGACTAGGTGCCCGGCCCTCTCCCCTGCAGCCCCCTCCCCTGCAGCCTCTCCTCTGCAGCCCCTCCTCTACAGTCTCTCCTCTGCAGCCCCTCCTCTGCAGCCCTCTCCTCTGCAGGCCTCTCCCCTGCAGCCTCTCCTCTGGAGCCCCCTCCCCTGCAGGCCTCTCCCCTGCAGCCTCTCCTCTGGAGCCCCCTCCCCTGCAGGCCTCTCCTCTGCAGCCTCTCCTCTGGAGCCCCCTCCCCTGCAGGCCTCTCCTCTGCAGCCTCTCCTCTGCAGCCCTCTCCCCTGCAGCCTCTCCTCTGGAGCCCCCTCCCCTGCAGCCTCTCCTCTGGAGCCCCCTCCCCTGCAGCCTCTCCTCTTCAGCGCTCTCCTCTGCACCCTCTCCTCTGCAGGCCTCTCCTCTGCAGCCCTCTCCTCTGCAGCCCCCTCCTCTGCAGCCTCTCCTCTGCAGCCCCTCCTCTGGGTACCACCACCCTGCCAGCCCCTTGCCTTGCCACGCTCAGCCCTCACCTTCCATCCATTCCATCATCTTCTCTTCCTAGTCAGTGTTCAAAACATAGTCTCTGGGGCTGTGTCTGCGGCCTGGACACCTACCTCCCTTGAAGCCCCTCTTAAAATCATGGTCCCTGGCAGAGGAGAACCAGGCTGACACCCCCAACCTGGAGTCTCATGGTGGGCGGGGGTACAGAGAGGCACTTCCCTCCCTTCCCTCCCGTTTGTGCAGCAAACTGGACGCACCTGAAGCGAGGTCAGGTACGGGGTGGGGGCAGGGCCCTGCCCAGAGGCCCAGGGCAGTGTGCAGGGTGCGGGGGCTGTGGGGGACAGGGGACATGGTGGTAAGAGTCAGATGCTGCCTAGACCCACGCCCAAGTTCTGCTCCTGGTTTAGCGTCCACGACTTCGCTAAGCCTCACGTTGCCTTACTGTGAAAGGGGGACAGTAACGTACCTATGTCACGGCTTGTGCACGTGGGGATTAAGCGAGATAAAGTGCCCGGCGCATAGTGCGGCTCTCGGTGTGTGCTTACTACCTGCTGAGGAGCTTCCCTCCCCCAGAAAGCTCTGAGCCTTTCAAACTGCCCAGAGACGCCCTGCCATCTGCAGACCAGCGTGGTGCCCGCCCAGGCGGAGTGTGTCTGGCTGAGGCTGGGCAGAAGGTCTGCAGCCCCACGTGGGAGGCCAGAAGTGAGCCCCGTGAGGGCAGGAGCCGGGGCTGAGCCTTGGCCCGCAAACCCTCAGGACACATCTCGGACTTGGACCGAACTGGGCTGATGCGAGAACCAGCCGCTGGGATGCCCTTCCCCCAGACAGCGCCCACAGGCGGCCTGCCGCTTTAGGCGGGCACAAGGCCAGAGCGGCCGGGGAACGCCATCCTTGTGCAGCTGGGGGTGAGGGGGCCCGGCAGCCCCGCCCGGGCCAGGGCCCACCTGCAAAGGTCGGCGTCAGGCTGTGGAAGCTGTCCGGCTTCTGCTGCTCCCTGCGCACCTGCTCGCCGTACGTCCGGTACTGGCCCACGACGGCGCTGCCCCTCTGCAGGCCCCGCAGCGCCTGGAAGACCTGAAGCTTGAGCCGCAGCACGGCCTCCGCGTCGCTGACATTGCGCGGCAGCTCCATGGCCACGAGCGTGAGGACCTCGGTCAAGTGGTTCTGGAGGATGTCCCTAATGACGCCGTACTCCTCGTAGAAGCTGGTGCGACCTGAGCGGGGTGGGGGTGGGGCGTCACGAGGGGCCAACGGGTCGGATTTCCCCAAGCTGAGATGCTCCAAGACCCCCGCCCCACACACTGGACCTGCGCCCTCATCCCGCCGTCCAAAGAGCCCACAAAACCACGCACGCCAGAGGCAACCTCAACAAGAGAAGGCAGGGACGAATTGCAGCCGCCTCCATTTGATGAGAACTGTTCTACCGAGAGAAGGCGTCAAATCCTTGGTCCTCTCCAGGCACGTGCACGGGGAAGGCTCCAGCCCCTGCAAAGGCCAGGCTGCACCTGCAGCTGTGTGGCCGGCCCGCTGCCCCGCCCTCCCTACGCGTGTCCCCGGCCAGCAGAAAGTTTTGGCAGCAGGAAGCCAAGGTACGGCCCTCCGTGAGGACCCCCGAGTCTGCCTGCCGCTTACTAGCGTGTGATCTTGGCCGGGGCGTTTGACTCTTGTTTCTGCGTCCTGCCTTAGGTGGGGCTAACAAATGCCACCCGATCCTACATGCCAGGCGATATGCAGGGAAGTGGGAGGGACGGATAGTGGGCAGGAGAAAAAAGGAAGGAAATAAAATTATAGACCGATGATGACAGAGGTAACAGGAAGCCCCTCCGAGACCTGAAGAGTCAGCCCCACAAAGGGCCAGGGACAGAGCATCCCAGGTGGAGGGACCTTCAAGTGCCAGGGACCTTTCCCCGAGGCAGGAAGGAACTGGGTGAGCTGGTCCCGATGGAGGTGAGCAAGCGGGGAGGACAAGACGAGGCAGGGGGCCCAGGGGCCCAGCAGGGCGCAGCGAGGAGGCTGGCCTTGTGTCTAAGCTCCAGGGGAAGCCCTGGAGGGTGTGAGGTAAAGACGAGGCCATCTGCTCCATATTTAGAATGGTCCCCGGCCTGCTGGGGGAGAATGGGTGTGGAAGCAGGGAAACCGAGGAACGGGCCATGCAGCTGTCCAGGGGAGAGACGACAGGGCTTGAAGGAAAGTGTCCCTACAGCAGGAGCACTCCTGAAGCAGCGGGGTGGCAGGAAGGGGAGATGCACCCCAGAGTCAGAACGGACTGGACGTGCTGATGGACAGGAAGAGCCTTAGCAAAAAGACGGCCCCAAAGATGAGCCCTGGAACTGGTGCCTGAGCAGTGGTGGCCTGACAGACGGTGGTGGCATTTACAGACATGGGAAGGCTGGGAGAAGAGAGGCTCGATGGAAGGAAAACCACGAATTCCGTTTTAGTAGGTTTAAGCTTACGACATACACCTGGAGACGTCAAGTTGGCAGGTGCACAGGGGCACTGTGAGGGTGAAAGGAAGTAGCTCCTAGAGAACACGGAGCACGCAGCCCTGAGGCTGACTGCGGGCCTGGCACGGCGCTGAGCCCGGACACGGGCCACTCTTCCCCACACTCACAAAGACCCCCTGCAGCAGGCGCCACGGTCACTCTGGCTCTGCAGTCCGGGAAGGAGGCAGATGGCCAGGGCCAGTCAGGGCAGGGCAGGAGCTGGTTTGCTGCCTGCCCCACTCTGCTCCCTCCTCCGAGGCTCCCTCCAACATGAGTGCCAACTGTCAGGGACTCAAATGCACACGACAGTCTCAGAGCTCAGGGTTCAAGTGCACGCCACCAAGTCCAAGTCCACGCATGCCTTACACACAGAGAGCCCGACGTCATGACATGGAGAGTGACCACTTCTCACATGCTTCTGCATGCACATCTGTAACATGGGATCAGTGTGTTCGCCCAGCTAACTCCTACTCATCCTTAAGGTCTCAGCTGCCAGGAGCTTTGGCCTAGCCCTCCTGAGGGGCCCGGTCGTCTCCTAGCCCACCTGACTGTAAGTCAGCACCTATTTCTCTCTTCTCTACTACCCTGAAGCTCCATCAGAGTAGGAACTGTATCTACCTTCCCAAAGCTGCGTCCCTGGCTCCTAACACAGTGCTCCTCATGCAGCTACAGAAGAGAGAATGAAGACACAGGTGTTGGAATTAAATATTAACTAGATACTGGGTAAAACTAATGTTTACAAAATACATGTAAGACATATAGAGGTATGATACAACGAACACCAATGCACCTACCACCCAGTTTTTAAAAAAGAACTTCAAGGCGGGTGCAGTGGCTCACGCCTGTAATCCTAGCACTCTGGGAGGCCAAGGCAGGGCAGAATTGCTCCGGTCAGGAGTTCGAAACCAGCCTGAGTCAAGAGTGAGACCCCTGTCTCTACTATAAAAGAGAATTAATTGGCCAACTAAAAATATGTATAGAAAAAAAATTAGCCAGGCATTGCGTTCCACTCGCCTGTAGTCCCAGCCTACTCAGGAGGCTGGGCCGGAGGATTGCTAGCCCA